GCGTATTTTCCTTGATAAAGTTTGTATTTGAATTATCTGACTTTTTAAATTATGTTATTTGTTCTATTATTGAGTTTTGAGAGTTCTTCATTTATTTGCATACAAGTTCTTTGTTAGTTACATGCTTTGTAAATATGTTCTCCTAATCTATACCTTTTCGGTTTTATCCTCTTAAAAGTGTCTTTTGAAGATCAGAAGTATCTAAGAAATACTTGCTTTGATAGATATCTAGGAAGTATCTATGAAATATCTAGGGTCATATCAAAGAAATCTCTGCCTAACCCAAGCCCTCAAAAAATTTCCCCTGTGTTTTCTACTAGAATTTTTATAGTTTTAGGTTTTACATACAGTGTTACATTTTGACTCTATTTCATCTGATAGTAAGAAAACCAGCACTTTCAAACAAATACTGATCCTATGAAACAAGTTAATATAGCACAGTGATTAAGAATTCATTATCTGAAGTCAGATTGATGTTCTAATCTCAGTTCCACCATTTACTAGCTGGGTAGATCATAGTCAACATAGTTAACTGCCCTGACCTTTTTTTCTAATCTATAAAATTAGGTAAGAACAATTCCTAAATCACAGGGTTGCTCTGAGGATTAAGTGAGATTACATATAGAAATCACTGTCAAGCACACATAGCTAACAGTCAATAATGTAATCATGTAAACTGTGTGGGGAGAGTGCCCATGGCATAGAAAACAGATTTAAAAATGGCTCCTTCTTAGTTGAATGAACCAATTACACAATTGGACGCAATTGCCTTGGAATTGAATAGAGGACAGATTGGGTAATAATGAGGCAACAAGACAAGTATTCAAGTCCAGGGTCTGATCTTCTTCTGAATGGAATAGTAAATGGGGAAGTAGAAGCAATGCTTTGTATCAGCTGGAAAAGAATGATGATAGAGGCCAAGAGTATGTCCAGGCAAAGATTACAGTAAGTGATTATGACTAATTGCTGAGCAAGATAAGATAATGGGGAAAATACAAATGAAAATTTGCACAGTCATATGGAAAGGGATTTCATCCCAGTTTTAACTAGCTCTTTGGTGTCTGTGAAATAAGGAAAATGAATCACATCTTCTTTTGGGCCCTGTATGGATCTAGCAGCCTGTGTCATTTCCAATCTGTGTTGTGGGGTTGGGAGTGGGAAAAGGGAGAGGTTGTGATCTCTGAAAATCCATGTAGTTGAAATAAAAAAATAAATCTAGAATGGAAAGTTATCAGAGAATAACTGGTTCCTTAGAGAGCCATTCATGGCCAATGGAAGCAAGGGTGGGCAATGGGGCAGTTTCCCAGGATCTCTGCCCTTGGTGAGTATCACATGAAGTACTGGTATTCAGTAATAAGACAGCCAAAAGATGGGAGGGAAAGCAAATCAAAAACAGGACGCTGGCTGGATAGATGTGTAAGTATCCAAAGTTAGAATATTCAACCATTAGACTGAATTTCTCTGAAGATCATTGTGAAATATATCCTATCACTTCTTGCATATATATGCATTTTTAAGTCTTTAGCCATTCTGTTACCACCATAAAACGTTTCAAGGCTTTAGTCTTCTACCTGGTGTTCATAGGGATAAAAGCAAATTTAAACATTTGCCCAAGGAAAACAAAACTCACATGTTCAAATAATGTTAAAATTCCTCTCAAAGACAAGAGTTTATTAATTTTTAGTTATTTGAACTGTCCTGGCTTCTGACTTCTGCACGAGTAGATAACTGAAAGTTTACTATACATACAACAGTAATGTAACAATCACTGAAAGTTTTGTTTGGTTTTGGTTAAAATTTTGGGAGAGAAAAACTCATTCCAGGTGAGGGGAAGTTTCATCCCTTCACTCAATACAATTATGGACACCTATCATGCCGAGCACTGTACTAGGTGCCTTTATACGTTTTCACCTGTACATTTTAGTATTTAATCATCCCAACAATTGCGTAGTTTTGACAAAAGAAACTTTGATTAGAGAAGTTAAAACTTCCCAAACTCTTTCTGTTACTAAAAGGTAGAGCCCTCTGGGAATCTGTAATCTAGGTGAGTAAGCAGGAACCTTCATAAAAACACCTTAAGGTAAATGCCATCATAGATTATGCATTAGCCCAGTGTAGCTTTCCGAGGAAGGCCTGGGAAGGGCTTTCTTCAATGATACAACTTTGACCAGAAAATACTGGGCTGTGAGAAGGGAAGGAGGTAGGAAAAAACTCACGGTAGAAGCAAAAAGTTTCATAGATGCATGACGGCCAGAGATACCTGTGTGGTCATGGAATGGCAAGTTGCTGTCACTCGTGGGATAGGGTACTACAAGATGTCAGCATGTGACAAGCTTGAAGATAAGATGAGATGTCACTGTAGCAGGCAACAGGGAACCAGCAAAAAACCTCAGCCAGGGGAATGGCAGGATCAGGAGAGCATGTGCTCCCCTGGGTAGGAGGAGAGACTGGAGGCAGGGAGGCTGGTGGGTGCACTCTAGGTCCTGGGGGCACGGCCTGTGGAAGACCTGCCCTGGGGTCCTGTCAAAGGAAAGGGAGAACTTCAATTCCCATCCAAAATGTTCTCTTGTAACTCTCTCCTGCGCTTATTTCTTGGAAAAGCCAGGTTAGAATTCCCTAATTGCTTGATTTGGAAGCTATTTTGTTTGTAGTTTGTTTTTTGTCTAGCAAGAAAAAAGGAGCTTTTTTTATTTATTGATTTTTTTTTTTTTTTTAGAGGGAGAGAGGAGGAGAGAGGGAGAGAAACATCATTTTTTGTTGTTGTTCCATTTACTTATGTATTCATTGGTTAGTTCTCATATGTGCCCTGACCAGGGATTGAACCCACAACTTTGGCATATAGGGATGACCCTCTAACCAACTAAGCTACTTGACCAGGGAAAAAGAGGAGCATTTCTGTGTGTATGTTTGTGTCCTTTTTTGCCCAGGTCCTGGTTAGAAAGGAATGAAAATGGAACACTAGTGATCTCAAAAGGATGGAAGGGATAGAATTTGATTGAACGAGGAAACTAAATGATGGCTCCAAATTTTAAAACTGAATGACTAAGAAAATGGTTGTCTCCCTTTGGGAAATAAGACAATGATTTTGGAATAAAGACAGTATGCTTATTTTAAATAGATTCAACTGGAAGTTGGAATAAGATTTTCATGTAGAAATATCCAGAAGCTGTTGAAAGGCAGAGCTGGTGTCCATTAAAAATTAGGGGGTGGAGATATAATCAGCCTACATCTATATCCATGGACATAAAGTCATAGGTGGTAGTTGTTTGTGCTGAGGGATAACATGGTGACAAGCGAGAAAGACTGCCCAGGGCAGACCTTTCAGAGTAGAGCAGGAGAAGGGCATCTACAGAGGAAAAAGAGAGGGGGTGGGAGAGAGAGGCAAGAGCAGCAGAATATGCAGAGTTGTAGGGGTAAAGGGAGGAGAAGGATGTAGCTGCAGGGTCTGTGCTTGATGATAAAGTGTCACTTCCTCTGGGCAGCCTTTCTGCCCTCTCCCTTCCCCCCACATCCAGGACTTTCTTATCTAGTTGGCCTGAGCACAGATGACATTGAGGACAGCTCAGCCACCAGTGCTGGCTTGCGTATCAGTTTCCCCTTTAGGTTGAATGCTCCCAAAAAGCAAGACCTGTGTGGGGTAGAGATTAAGGCAGCTCCTTGAGAGCAGTTTCAGGAGAGTGTTGGGAAGGAAAGCCAAACTGTAAGGTGTTATGGAACAGGGAGATGGTAACAAGTGATAGGACGGTCAGGGAGTTATGAGAAAAGGAGAGAGAAAATTATATCAAGAGAGGAGCGGAAAGAATATAATGTTTAATTGTAGGGCAGGAGAGATTTGAGTATGTTGCTAAACTGTGATGAAAGCCAATGAAAAGGAGAGAGGATGAAGATGAATGAAGAGGCAGTGAGTGGGTAATATCTGATGGAGCAACGCTGAGAAGCAACTGGTTAATGCAGAGGAGGGGCGGGTCTCTGAAAGAGGGCAGGGGTGGGTGAGAGTGCAGACGATTGTAGAGGCGAGAGGTGGCCTACGAGGTGCGAGGTCAGGATGAACTATGAGAAAGGTGTCTATGGCTTAATGGAAGGGGAACCCCCCCCCCAACTAAACGACCTTGAACTTGTAATGTTGCCGTCTATCAGTCACTTTTTCAAAGCTTCAACTTTTCTTTAGGTAAAATGAGGGTATTACCTTCCAACTCCCCAAATCAGGCGGCATTGTCCCACTTTCTTGCAAGTACTTTCTTGGCTACTTGCTTTTTTATTTTTATTTTTATTTTTTTAAATTTGGGATGTTCCTTTCAGAGGGCATAGAACCTGGAAGGTGGTCTGGATCTTATCAGCAAAGCAGGAGGTGGGTCATCTGAGCATGAAGTGATAACAGAGGGCTGAGCGAACAGCCCTATGGTGGTGGGCGTAGGATAAGGACGTCAACGCGCAAGAAACCCAAAAGGATTTGCAAGCATCAGTGGGTCCCCAGGGTTGATGGGAGGACAAGGATGCCTGATCCTGGAGGAATCAGGCCCATTAGCTGAAAAGTGTTCCGGGAGGTGTGGCCACAAACTCCCTCACTGAACCGGCTCCCAGGGGAGGGTTATAAGAGAGGCGCGCACCTGGGGCCCACGCACCTGGAGAGGCTGTGGGATGGCGTGATTGCCCGCTTTTGAAGGCCACGTGGGAGGGCCCGTTAATTTTTACGAGGCTGCAACGGAGTCTCAACCTTGACACCAGGGCGCTCTGGAAAAAGCTACATGAACCTGCAGAGAGCACGGGGGTTAAGTGGGCATGTTTGGCGTATTTGGGCTACTGCCAGGCCGGTGTAGCCGGGACCAGGAGGAGGTGGGTCATTTGTGGTGCAGCTCCTTGCGGCCGCTGCAGGAACTTGAGGAACTTGATGCTTTGCGTGCCCGTTGCACAACCTTATGCCTTTTTTTTTTTTTTTTTTTTTGTAAATTGCAGAATGTAGCGAGGCCCCGCCCTTCCGCGCCCGGCCGCTGGGCTGCCCCTCCCGAGGTCCCCGGCGGTGCTCCTTCTCCTGACGGCGCTGGAGGGCCTGGCGGCGGCGGCCCACGGGGCCCATGGCACTGCCCGCCTGGCTGCAGCCCAGGTAGGGCGCTCGGCCGAGGCCGGAGGAAAGAGGGTGCGGGGAGGGGGGCCGCCGGGGCGGAGTCTCCCCCACCCTACCAGCGGCTGTGCAGGCACCGGAGAGCGCTGAACAGCGCAACCCTGTGCCCCACACATTCTTGAACTTTTGACCAGCGATTAGCTAGTTTAATTCTCTCGACAACTCCGGGAAGATGGCTCGGTTATTTCCCTCATTTTACAGATGAGGAAATAGGAAGGACAGGCGGGGCGGCCACCGCTTCATTGTGTGCGCTCTTTGCCTGTCCTTCTTCCCTTCCCTTCCTACCCGGTGCCATTCCGTTGGCTTTCTCAGACTTCTTGTAGCAGGATAAATTTTAGATCTGCGGCGGAAACACCTATGGGGTGTGTGTATTCGAGGGCCCAGTTCCAGGAAAACTCATTCAGTGGTAGGGCTCGGGGACTGCGTGTGTAACCGAGACTTCAGGTGATTCTGATGCTGGTTTAAGGGAGGTATTCCTCTTCCCTACCCCTTCAGCAGCTTGTGTCACCAGCGGGGTGCCGGAGTAAAGTCATAAAACTACACTGTGTCTGCTTTCCAGCCTTACTTTTCAGAGGTTTCACGTGCCCAAGTAGGAGCAAACCTTGTCTGCACTGGCAGGGCCTCTCCCACTACCCTTCTGAACCCCCAGGGAGCACTTCAGCCAGTGCTTGGCTGGACTCCTTCAGAGGCTTGTCTGTCAATCATCTCTTAGCCGTCGCTCCAGCAACCCATTTTTAAACCCAGCTTGACTTCCCTTTTCTGGCCTGAGCCATTAAACTGCCTTCTATGTGTGTCTGATGAAGGAAACATCTGCCCTTGCAAAACAGGAGGCCGTGGAGAGATACTGACCTAATCACATGCTGCAATCCAAGGTCAGGTGTGTCCAGTTACTGAAGTACCCACCGTTTGGGAATGCCGTCCCCGTTTGTAACTGTAAAGCAGTTACCAAGTTCTGCACTTACAACACATATTGACTACATCAACCCCTTCTCCATGTATTTTTTAAAAAAATATTCAGAGTAGTCTTTGCAACGCTTACTTTATCTGTTGTTTATCTGTTGATGAGCAGCAAGTTAGAACTTTATCAAAGATGAAGTGGATTTTGAAATAGAACCATATTTGACTTTAAGCAATTTAGGATACTCATTCGTGGATGGTGTATGCAATGGTTTTTTTAAAATCTGATGACCATTAGAGGAATAACCAAATAAAAGACTGAGAGAGAACAGTTTTCTCTTGTTTGCTCAGGTTGACCAGTAGGTTAGTTCAAAGATGTTTATTATGCTGAGAGGATAATTATAAAGGAAATGTTTAATTGATTTTTCTGTATTTATAGGTATAGGAAGAATACCTATCTTTTCATCTACTACTTAATCCAGTTCTGTGGCCACTCATGGATATTTACAAATATGACAGTCAGATTCTTTTCATTTGGAAAAGGTAAAACTCTAAAACACTTCTTGATTTTTTACTTTTTTCTTGTTTTCACTTAGTCTTGCTTATATTAATTTTTTAACTTCTACCAACTTTACCTAATATCCTTCACTCCTCTAAATTTAGTGACCACATTTTTCAGAAACCATACTTCTTGCTGAGTGCAAAAAACAAAATCTTTTTGGAGCAGTGGGCAGGTAAGATGAGGAAAAGAGGTTTGGCTTCCCCCTGAAAATGTAGACATGGCATTGAGGTGATGCCGTTTCTCTCTGTCCTCTTGGTTCTGGAATGAATCTTAGCAGATTTGGTGTGTTTTGAGGAAATCTGTAAATTACAGGATGTATAACATTTTATGCAGAGAAATGAGAAATTAACCAAATTTTTCCATTATTTTTAACTTCTTAGGTTTAAGGTAACTGGAGACTACGAATAAATAAAAGACAAACTGTATACACCCAGGCCTTTATTTGGTTCCCTTAAGGAATACTGTGTCCCTAAGAAAATGACACACTTTGTAGATGACTCATCACTTATATGGAAGTTGGCATTAATGGTTTAAGTTATAAGCTTCTTCCAGTTTCCTAAAATGTAAAGATTTTAAATAGCATTTCAATGTTCAGAAAAATGAATCACTAAATTTGTCAAAATAACATTCTTTTCATGTTCCATCCCCACATGAGTGTCATCGCAGTTTACAACTGTTGAGTGACTTGACAATGTGAGCAACTGCTGGTTTCAGCTGAAAAACGAACATGTAGAATGTGTCTGGGAAAAGTCATGCTGTGCTCATCAGTTTAGACTTTTGTATCATCAGGAAATTAATCACCTTTTGAGGCATCCTAAACTATTTTATGTTGCTTTTTTCTTACTGCAAATCTACAGGAAAATTCTTTTCTTTGTTAAGAACCTCCAAAGGTACAACCTCTTGAATTTTAGCTGAGTGTTGCGAGTCTTCAAGCAGAGGAAAACACAGGCAATGGGAAAACTTCCTTTATATTTTTAGAAAAAACAAACAAACCACTTCTAGGCCTTGGAAGCTGGCTGTGGCTTTGTGGGCATATCACAGGTCATTCACAGCACAAGTCACAAGCCATGGACTCCTTTACTGCCTGGCCTTTCCAGTGGGAAAAATTGCTTTAGTCAATGGTCTATTTATTTCTTAATTTTATCCTACTGTTATACTTATGAAAGCTACTTATTAAAGAAATATCACCTATTCATATGGAAGGCAGACTGAACACGACTAAGTGGGGCTTCAGTAATAAGTCTTGAACCAATGTAAAATTAGTAAGCGGCTTATAGTAAGCTAATCACCTGAGCCAGTAACACCTGCTTCCTTCCTCTGTCAGGGAGCTGTGTAAGTGACAACGCTCGTCAGAGCAAGTGCAGGCCACTGGAGAAGAGCACAGGCTGTCTCGGCCTCAGAGCTCACCTGTGAAATGGAGATGATGTTAATAGTGTGCACAAACAGAGCTGCTGAGGAGAGAACCCTGTAGTGCTCGATGGTAATTTAGGATCACTAGGCAGTAAAGAGAGCAGAGTCTTCCTTAGATATTTTTTGATATGGCAGGATTTCATTTTAAAATTGAAACTGACATATTTGTCCTATTTAGGGGAACATTTGTTTCCCTCCCATTTTAGCTCTCTCCAAATTCAATTTTTCATTTGGGCCCTATACAGTGCAGACTCCAAAAGCCCCCACTAGAGGTTCAAGTTCTGGTGTTTCAAACTAACCAAAATTGAGGGGGGTTGATGAAGGATGAAGAGGGTAAAGGGGACCAAATACATGGGGATGGAAGGAGACTAGAATTCAGGTGGTGGGTACACAACAGTATACCAGTGCCATGTTATCAAGATGTACACCTGAAGCTAATGTCACCAAAGTAAATTTAATTAAAAAACTAACAAAAATTCAGAGAACACTAAGTATGTATAGGACACACATACTTGATACACATAAGATGTTATTTGATATCATGGCATCATTAATATCATTTCTATAAAGCTTCTCTGAAATCTTATTTTTCTCATCTCTCCTCAATGGAAAAGCTGTAAGCATAACAGCTTCTGTAATAAACTCACCTCCAACCTCTACATTATTTAATTCTCATATGAGGGCATGTTTATTGATTTTTTTTTTTTTTTTTTGAGAGGGAGAGAGTGAGAGAAAGAGAAACATAGATGTGAGAGAGAAATATTAGTTGGTTGCCTCTGTATCCACCCTGACCGGGTATTGAACCCAAAACCTAGGTATGTGTCCTGACCAGGGATTGAACTTGCAAACTTTTGGTGTATGGAACGATGCTCCAACCAACTGAACTACCTGGCCAGGGCTCCAACTTGTTTATGTTTGATCTAGTGTAGATTCTACTGGTTACTTTTATGCAGGAATTGCTTTATAATCTCATAAATGAAAAATAAATGCTATAGCTTTGGCCATGGAAGCTTCTTTTTCGAGTTTTTACTTGTTTTTGGAAGAGGAACCATTAAAATGTACTATAATATGAACTGACTTCTTCAGTTTCATACACTTAATGATGTAGTAGTCTATCTAGGAAATTTCTCACATGTACAATGAAAACAGGGGTAAATGATCTCAATTTTATTTACAAGTGCTGTAGATATGTGGGTTGTGCTCTAGTTTTTATTTACTATATCTATATTTTTAATTCACTGGACACAGATTCAATGGTTGACACTTTTTATGCTATCGGACTTGTGATGAGACTTTGCCAATCCATCTCCCTCTTGGAGTTGCTGCACATATATGTTGGCATTGAATCAAACCATCTTCTTCCTAGGCTTCTGCAGGTAGGTTTTAATCATGTTATTATTCTTTTTTAATCTGTTTCATACTGAACTTGTTTTATTTATAGCCTCTCTTGACTTCATGGATGTTAAAAAGCCAGTCCTTGCATACTTATAACCCAAATCACTAATACAGAGAACTCCATGAAAAATTACCCAACTTCAAACACTGGACCGTTGGAAGAGCCAACTGGAAACATTCGGGGCAGTGAAGCTTGTTGCCCTGTGCAAAACCACAGTGCTCCTCTCCTGGAAGGAGATTTCACAGGCACTTCCCACTCTGACTGCCAGCGCCTTGGGCAGGAGAGGGCCGAGGAGAGGCACCGGGTTGGAGCTGTTCAGGTTGGGTTCGATGCCTGGCTCCGTTACCTACCCTGTGGGATCGCATCGCCCACAGTCAGTTGGCTGTTTTGGGGAAAGGACACCACACACAATACTGGTAAAGAGTAGATGATTAAAAAAAATCTTAATTTTTTGAGAAACCTCTGTACTCTTTTTCCATAGAGGCTGCACCAATTTACATTCTCACCAGCAGTGTATAAGGGGGCCCTTTTTTCCACATTGTTGCGAGCACTTTTTATTTCTTGTCTTTTTGATAATAGCCAGTGTAATGCGTGTGAGGCGTTAACCCAGCCCACTGTGGTTTTGATATGCATTTCCCCTGTAACTAGTGATATTGAACATTTTTTCATGTCTGTTGGCCATCTTTTCGTATGTCCATATGTCTTCTTGGGAAAAGTGTCTAGTCAGGTTCTTTATCCCATTTTTAGTCAGGTTGGGTTTTTTTGTTGTTGTTGAGTTATGTGAGTTCTTTATATAATTTGCATATTAGTTCCAGATGTTCAATTATAATTTTGTATACCTGAAAATTATATAATGTCATTAACCAATGTTACCCCCTATAAATTTAATTTTATACAAAGTCTCTTTCAGAGGGGAAGGGGGTAGGAGGAACCAGAAGAAATTAGCCAAAGAACATAATATATGTATATCTGCACAGCCCGGGGACATAGAAAACAATGTGGTGAAGGCACGCGAGGGGGGCTGGGTGGAGGGGTGTAAAGGGGGGCGTGGAGGGCATCTGCAATAGTGTCAACAATTTAAAAATTAAAAAAAAATAAAAAGTTCCTTCTACCCCTATTCAGAGAATAGAATATTTCCTAGCCATTTCTTATTCACTCTGCCACTTTCACTGAATACAAATGGAGAAGAGAGATTGTTCATGGTTATCTAGTATAGTGTCTAATCATAGACTTGGGGATCAGCCAGACTTGGAGTCATATCCCAGTTCTACCTCTTAGTAGCTGTGTGCATTTAAACAAGTCGTATAGTTATTCCAAATCTTATTTTCTCATGTGATATGAAAGTAACATGTATCTCACAGGGTGACTGAGGAAGTAGGTGAAATAAGTTGCCAGCACTTAGTTAAGGGGTTAAGGGTCAGGTGACTATATTGACATGTATTTAAAATCTTCAGAAAAAGGTATTTCCATGAGTATTGCCTTTTAACTATTCACAAAATAAATTGGAAAAATGGATAAACAACTAAATTTGACAAATTTGCATTGTAAAAATAAAATGTCAGAGGTTGATTATATTGCTAGCACATAGCAAAGTGCTTAGAATATGAACCTTCAATTTTTGTTGAATGAAGGACTGACATAGATCCTTGAGTTAAAATTTGCTTAAAATACAATGAAAATTTAAAAGATGGAAATAGGAGTCTAATACTAAGGAACTTAATAAGAAATCAGCCTTTTATCCATCTTGAGTTTATTTTAGTGTACGATGTAAGTTGGTGATTGAGTTTCATGTTTCTGCGTGTAGCTGTCTAGCTCTCCCAACCCCATTTGCTATTTTTACTTCATTTTATGCTTCTGCCTCTTTTGTCAAATATTAATTGACCATAGAGACTTGGGATTATTTCTGGGCTCTCTATTCTGTTCCATTGATCTATGTGTTTGTTCTTATGCCAGTACCAGACTGTTTTGATTACCTTGTGATACAGTTTGATGTCAAGTATTGTGATCCCTCCTACTTTGTTCTTTCTCAAAATTGCTGAGGCCATTCGGGGTTGTTTATGGTTTCATACAAATTTTTGAAATGTTTGTTCTATATCTGTGAAATATGTCATTGATATTTTAATAGGGATTGCGTTGAATCTATAAATTGTTTTGGATAGTGTGGACTTTTCGATGACGTTAATTCTTCCAATCCATGAACACATTATATGCTTCCATTTGTTTGTGTTTTCCTTAATTTCTTTCTTCAGTGTTGTATAGTTTTCTGAGTACAGGTCTTTTACCTCCTTGGTAAGGTTTATCCCTAGGTACTTTATTTTTCTTGTTGTTACAGCAAATGGGATTTTCCCTTCTGATTTCTGATTCTGATATTTCATTGTTGGTGTACAAAAATGCCTTTGATTTCTGCATATTCACTTTGATAAGATTGTAGAGAAAAGGGAACCCTAGTACACTGTTGGTGGGAATGCAGACTGGTGCAACCAACTGTGGAAAACAGTTTGGAATTTCTTCAGAAAACTAAAAATGGAAAAGCCTTTAACCCAGCAATTCCACTGCTGGGATTATACCCTAAGAATCCTGAAACACCAATCCAGAAGAACCTATGCACTCCAATGTTCATAGCAGCCAAGTGTTGGAAGCAACCTAAGTGCCCATCAGTAAATGAGTATATCAAAAAACTATGGTACATTTACACAATGGAATACTATGCAGCAGAAAGAAAGAAGGAGCTCCTACCGTGTGTGACAGCATGGATGGAACTGGAGAGCATTATGCTAAGTGAAATAAGCCCGGGGGCAAAAGACAAATACCACATGATCTCACCTGTAGGTAGAACCTAATCAACAAAACAAACAAGCAAACAAAATATAACCAGAGACTTTGAAATAAAGAACAAACTGACAGTAACCAGAAGAGTGGGGGGAGGGGGAAATGGGAAAAAGGAGAAGGGTCATGAAGGAACATGTATAAAGGACCGATGGACAAACCAAAGGGGGGAAGGATTGAGGGTGGGAGGTGGGTATTAAATTATGAGTCGGGTGGTGGGGAGTAGTAGGGGGAAAATGGAGACAACTGTACTTGAACAACAATAAAAAAAGCAACCAATTTCTAAATATTAAAAAAAAAAATCAGCATTATAAGTTTATGGGAGATTTTAAGTTTTACTTATTAAATAAAAGTAGAGAAATAGTATTCATCAATATGAAGACATTTTAAGTGTTGAAATATCAAATGTAAAGTAAAAATCAGGGCTATACTATTAGTTCATACAATTTAAAGTATGAACTACTAATAACAGAGTAGTGGTTAGCTAACAGTCAGTTAGCTAGCCAAGACCTAGATGGAATTCCCTTAAACATGTTCCCTTATAAAAATAAAAGGTACATATGTCTCCCAGTAGAAACATATTATTTGGGAACAAGACTTATTGATGTTTATTATTTGTTAACAACCAGAATGCATATAATACCAGCATCCCATGGTGCTAATTTCAGAGAGCAGAATTAACAACTCAGGTTAAATGAAAGTTGTATTCTGTAGTATGAAATTATTTTTCTTGGAGCATGGTCAAATTCACCTAAAATCTAAGTTATGTTTTCTTTTGGTGTATCTTTTTGAACTTTTTACTTTTGTAAGCTAAGTTGGCTAATATTAATTTTAGCATTTTCAAAATTAAGAGTGGTGTTATTTGAGTTATTGTTAATGTATGGGATACAAGTCAGAAACAGGACAGTTAAATTTGTAAGAAAGAAAATAGAGTACATTGAATATGCTTAGAAGAACATGCACATTTTTATGCTTTCCAAACTTATATAGTCTTGCCCAATTACAGAAATTATAGACAAGTTAGAAATCCTATTTCTTGGAGTTCCAGAAAATTTAAGTGTGATTTTAATCAGTATTAATTGAAACTATAATGACTTATAGAAATATGATCACTGTAACCAAACTGTATTCTGTTTGGTAATTAAAAAATAATGGCAAATATATATCACAACTTTTTATTCAAAGTTGACATTGTAGATGCTACTGTTCATGGGATTCAAATGATTTTTAAGTCTCTTTTTTTGGGAGAAATAACGGGTCAGAGGTCACCATGTTGGGAAGACAATTACTGTTTTCATCCTGGGATGATAATTCATTTTTGTTTTGATTGTTTGGGCCCTCTTTTTTATCTCTTTGAGAGTTCATCTCTTCTCTATTTGTTTTATTCACTCACTGTCTTTTCCATGGTGTTCAGAATGGACATGGTATTGGAGAAAGCTTCAAGAACAGATGCAATCATGCCCAAAGTTTCATTTTCTCCACTTTCCTTTTTTAGCATCCTGCAGACAGTTAGAATTCCTTCATTATGAAATGTTATGAGATGACTCTGAGCCCGCTGCTTTAAAATAACCAAACAAAACTAAGGCTGTAAAATCTTTCCTGGTTTTCCTGTTTCCTAATTTTTCAGTGAAGAAACTGTAGTTAGGAATGTGGCTAAGCTACTGACACAGTAATCATAGCTGATTGTATATGATGCGTATGTAGCCATTGGATTGCATATGGTGTCTTGAAAAAAAAATGCATGGTGCCCATGGTTTCAAGGAGGCTGAAAAACGTGTCCACACATTTGTGATGTTCTTTTGCTATTACATTTGTGTGGTTGCTAAGTCAAAACTGAATTCTCTTTTTGGGAACTGGTCTTCCAAAATATCAAGACAAGTCATTCCAAAAATCAGTAGGGATAATAAGCTAGTTGAACAGTTAGAATCATATGTATCAAATGGTTGTGGTATGTGTTTAGGAGGTGTTTGTTTTCTGTGTTTTGTTCTGTGAGTTTTTAAATGTTTTATACATACATCTTTATTTTGACAGAGAAAAACCATTATGAGTTTTTAGAATTATATACAATTGCTAAAGAAAAAAAGGAGGAAAAAGCCTTATAATAAGACTATCATAATTTAACACACAAGTACATATTTTTATGTATTTAAACTC